AACGTGTAATTTTGATGTGAAAAACGAATATAGTATAAAGTAGCATTAAAAACAAGAAAATAATTACAAAATGTGCAACTAGCGTAAGTTTTTCAACAAAAACATAGCATTTTAAATCTACGTAAAAGTTTAAACGCTAAGTGATGCTTGGAAATAATTTTTTTTTTGTTTTTTATTTGTTTTTAGATTTTTTGATTTTGTTTAGTTAATTTTAAAAAATAAATCTGTATATGTTGAAAGAGGTTGATAGAATAATCAAGAGAATTACTTTAATATATATTACAGTCTTTTAAAATTAAGTGTTGCTCATAATAATTGCCACAATTTTTAAAATTTAGCATATCTTACTTAGAAATCTAAATAATATACTGAAATAAGATATGAGTAAAGGAAGCTAGAAAGAGAAATATTATGTGCGTATTATTTGTTGACAATGTTTGAACATGTTAAATGTCTAGTATCCTTACTTATAAACATAAATTCTAAAATGTCAATTATTTTATAACAAGTGAAATAAATATATAAATCATATTTTAAATTATTATATATCATAAATTAGAAGAAATAATATATCAATATTCAGAACTGTTTTTATATTAATCAATATTTATTCATTTGATTAATACATGTATTTTATAATTATTATCCCGTGCATCGCACGAGCTGCGTACTAGTTAATAAACAAGCGGCCTCAAGTTATTAATAAAGAGGAAAAGGAGCGTCCAACTTTAAAGGTTTTTATTTCTCTTTTTAATTTCTTAATTTTTTTGTTTTTCCTTTTTTTAGGCATTGGAAGTTGATCCCACCGGACAAAGACCAACCAAGCATTCGTGGTTTTGCCGTCACTAATTACGATTAGCTTACATCATTGTTCGAACATCAGCTACATGGCGACCTGCGGCTGCGTAAGCCAGAGAAGTACGCACTAATATAATCGAGATTAGTCAAAATTAATAATAAAAAAGCCACACACATAATCAAATTGCATAGTTATTTATCAATATGTTATTTTATTTTTTTTAAGGTCTTGGTGCTTAGATCCAGAATCATGGCTACGAATTGAATAAAGTGAAAGGAACCTTCATTCCATCATTAAAAAAATAAAATGTGAACTTTTAAGAATCGTCACGCCTGACGCCGTCGACTTAAATTTTTAATATTTTTACTCTTTTTTTTACCTAAATTTTTAGTATTTTTACCCTTTTTTAACTTGGTAAGAATATTGATTAAGATTAAAGCAAATAATATGGGCTTTATGTCCCTTCATGATCTCCAAAAGTATTTTAGTATAAAACATTTTGTTCTCTTACTCATATACATGTGGAGTGTTATGCATATATATTTTTTAGACTTTTACAATTTTTTCTAAAATAAAATAAAATTTATATGAGATTCTTCAATTAGCTTTTCAATCATACAATAAAAAAGATCAATTCAAACTAAAAGTTATAACTAACTCAATAATTGTTCAACAATAGATCTATCATACTATTAAAAAAATTTGAACATTATTCTTTTTCTTATTATTCACTTTAATAAAATAATTATCTTATTAAATAATATAATTTGAGAAAGCAAACTCTCTACTGATGAATTCCTAATTTTTTCAAGAATCTTAAATATTGTTAGTTTTTCAATGAAAATAACCACATATGGGTAATTAATGTTTTATTCATTTGGTAAGTATATTTATTCTTTCAATTAGTGAAGCACACGGATTGGAACAAATAAAATCTTATCACAGCGTTATTAGCATAAAATTTTCCTATCACAAATTGTATTCGACAATTATTATTTTGTAAGTCAAATTATTCCACAATTGCTCATGTTAGATTATTTCACATTGTTATGTGATTTTTAAAATATTTTTTTTTCTATTTTCCGAATAATTATTATTCTACACGTGTTAGATCATTTCACAATTCACAAGAATTTTATTATTATTTTCTTTTTCAATTAGCTAAACATGTCACGAGATAATTTCACTCGCAGACACAGCAAATGCATGTCAGAGTAATTAGAAGCATCAAAGATATATATCTCACTTTTTCTTTAATTTTTTATTTCTTGATAAATTATGAAAATCGGCTAATTCCAAGATGGTTATTATATGTCGCTTTAAGAGCATTTGCACTCATGTGTTTTTATTTGACATTTAAATGGAGGCCGGGTTAATGGGATGTAGCCCATTCATTTAAATGTCATTTTAATGCCATTTTTTTATTTATCAAAATCGTTCAGTTCTTTATATATACATATATATATATATATTTAATTCAATTATTATAAAATCATATTTCTTAATATATATCAATAATTTACATTTATTATCCTTTCATTCTTTTTATGTTATAAATATACTACGATTTCATAACTCTCTTGCATAAAAAATTTTAGCAACTACTCATTTACTTAGAAACTGAATCCCAAAATAATAGGGAAAATTTTTACTGCGAAGATTGTTAATTTGAAACTCTTACTCCAATCTAAGACGCTTTATTCTCTCTCCTCGCGATAAAACCTAGCCCAATTTCCGTCGCCGGTTTCCTTCTTCTCTACCGTCGTTTTGCCTTCCTCGACACCGGCGAAGTCCAGGCCAGTGGTCGCCCTTGACCGCTTGGCCCGCCCCTGACGTCGAGTGTCTCCAATTTCTCTGTTGCTTGCGATTGGGGATTCGTCTACTGGTTCTGCGATTGGGGGTTCCGTTCATGGTGGCCGGCGCGGTTGCGATTGTGGTGGCGTGCATTAGAGACGGGAGGTCCTCCCTCAGTCGCCGGAGGGTCCTCGTTTGGGCGGTTTCCCCTTGTCGGGGATTTGGCTTCGCTGTTTCAGGTGGGACGGGCCTGGAGTCGGCTTCCCTAGTTCTAGTGGGGCTCCCTGCGGGGCTCTTGGTGGGGCTTGGGGCTCTCCGACTGTTGGTGGAGAGTTGGGAGGCGAGTGTGTCAGCGGGCGGGTGAGACTCTGACGACTGCGATGTCTTACATCGTGGAAGTTGGAGTTATAGAATCGAGCAGATCTCACCACCCCCGTTTCTCTAGTATTGGGAATTGGGTGGGTCCGGCGCTTCCGAGCTCGGCTAGTGGTGTTAGACGAGGTCGGGTAGTGCTGGAGTGGGGAGCTGGTCTTGTTCTCTCGGTCGGAGGTGGGTCGATTTGAGATGGTTCGGGACTCGAGTTCGACTTCTGTGTAGGCGGTTTCGCAATTTCGGTAGCATTTCCTCGGGTTTGGGATCCTCTTGGGTCGATTGTTTCTCTGCTGGTTTGGGCTCGTTAGTTGGCTGGGGAAGGACCTAATCTATCGTATTATAGTTATTTTGTTTTGTTTATTTGTGTCTGTGTTAGTGTTGTTCTTTGGTCTTGTATTTTTGGTTTGGACCATTTGGTCTCTGTGAGCCCGAGTGTAACTTTATTATCCTGTTGGGATCCTACACTTGGGCATTACCCTGTTGGGGTCTTTGTAGTTGTTTTAGTTTTGTTTGTGTTGGCGTTGTCGTGTAGTTGCGAGTTCGTCTTTCTAGCGTTGCTAGCAGGTTTTAGGCGATCTTCGGATTTGCCTCCCAGCCTTTGGCTTCTTTCTTTTCGCACTTTGTGCGGTTTTTATTAATATAATACTTCTATCGTTTTGGAAAAAAAAAAAATATAAGAAAAATTTTTATAATATTTGCAAGATCAATAATTTCAAGATTATATTCGTAAAATCTTCTAAGATACGAGTCAATACAATGCATCACCAACTTCGTGCAGACTTAGTTGAACATATTTGGACTCACTTGTTACCAACTAATTTATTTATCGTTCTACTATTTTTAATTTGTAATCGTAATTTAAGTTTTTTTATGTAATAATGTTATTTGTATGTTCACACATTTTAATTTAAATATTTTAATTAAAAAAATATATTTATTTTTATTAAAAATAAAATATAAAAATAATATTGAATGAGTGGATAATGAGTCTCGTATGTTCGCTTTAAATGAATTAACCAATTTGAATGTGTGTTTAAATGAAGAAATATTTAATGGAATAATGATGTAGACATGATGTGGAAGATAGTGTATGATTAATATTTAAATGAATGAATAAAGATGCGATACTCTAAGTGTAGTGGGAATATCTATCTCATTCAAAAGATTAATGGAGAAATGAATCATTGGTAGACAAGAATTAGAGTGGTACCCGTGCGATGCACGGGCTAGTTTTATTAAGGTAAATATTTAGATTTGAATGATTGGATGATTGGAAGAAGGTAAAGCGCATGTATTGAAATAAAACAAAACGTAACTTGCATATTTTTAAATGCATCCTTGTACACAATATTATATTTGGTCTTTTGGTAAATCGTCTATCACCACAAATTATATTATGATTCTAGATAGACTTAAATAAATCAATTAAATTATTCAGCAGGATATATATGATATAATTTATACTGCTTTTAGGAAGATTGCATAGCCAAATATAACGGAAATTGTAGAAAGTCTTTCTTAATAACCTATAGTTTTATTATTTTAAAATTATAAATTACTTAATTTAAGGAAGGGAAAATTGTTTAAGTGTATGCAATCAATTTCTTAATAACCTACTAAATTTTTGTTCATGCTTATCATGATTTCCAGAAATTTTTCTAAACTTAAATTCAATGTGTAGTTTATATTCAGTGAGAGGGCAGTAACCTCCAAGTTTCAAAATACGAGAAGAGAAACAAATATATTTTTGTAAATAGTAAATACTATATAAAATATAAAATGGGCTAATTAATAGTATATATGATGTTCAAAATACGTGGGAATATTAAAAACCAAAGAAGAGTATTGACAAGATGCGAACTTGCGAACATGTCATTAATTTACACGTCATTTCATTTGATAGGTCACCAGTTGTATTGTACAGAAACTCAGAAAGCAAAATCTACTCATTTTCAGAAGGTGCAAAATTAAACCCAAAAAACAAAAAGGGAAACTAAAAAGCTTTTAAAACAATAATAATAATAATAAAAAAAAGAGAGAATCTCAATCGGTCCAACTGCCCAAGGTAAGCTCCAGCCCGAAACCCGGATCGGGCTTCCCGACCGGGCTCGTCAAACTCGGCTCCACTGTCTCCACCGAGGCCGAGTCGTGGCTCGCCTCACTCCCCGCCGGGAAACTCCGGCGGCCCCACTCCCCCTCGCCTGACCACCCCGTGATCGTGAACCTCTGCTCCGGCTCAGTCTCCTCCGGTTTGGTCCGGCCACCGCCGCGCATCCGGTCCCCCGGCCGGCGGAACGAGACGGCGGAGAGGTGCCGGATGTTGAACCCGGCCGCCGGGCCGCCTCTCGAGGGGCCAGCCGCGGAGCACGGCGTCGACCGCCGCCTGGCAGCGGTGCCACTCGCCGCAGCGCATCAGGCCGGCGGAGCCGTACACGGGGTTGATTATCCGACCGCAGGCCTCGTACAGCAGCGACCGGAGAATCTCTGCTGATCGGAGGACAAAACGATTAATTGCGGATATACATACATATGCTGTACGTATAACTATATGTGTATGTACCTGGGCGTAGGTGAGTGGGGCCGGCGCCGATGAGGTTGAGGAGGCCGGCGCGGCCGTAGAATTTGGCGAGGAAGACGGTGGCGTTGGCCTGTGAGTCGGCGGATTTGATCCACTGAAGGGAGGGCCGGAGCGTGCAGTCCACGCCGCAGCCTTTGCGGAGGACTCGGCAGCCATTGCAGCTCATTATTAGTTAATTATGCTTTTTTTTAATTAATTTTATTTATTTATTTTTCTAGAGAGAGAGAGAGAGAGTGGGGTTGGGAACTTGGGACAAGGGAAAAAAATGGAGGGATAACCGAAAAGAGGTGGGGCTAAATTTATAAATAAATATATTGATGGACAAATTTTAAATATTTAATCCAATGTGCTGAACTCGTATATGATGTCATTGGAATAAACTAGTCGAAATTGCAGGTCGGCCCTTGGTCACTGTTCTTTTCCTTTTTTAAGCCCCTTAGGCGAATTGCCAAGGCACTCCCTCAATTTCATATTCAATTAAGTTTTGGACTTAATTATTTTTCAGTTTAATTGTCATTTTTTTCGTCATTGATTTTTTGTTAGTTTTATCCCAATTTATGCTAAGAATCGAAATGCTCATTCGTTCATATACGATAAACTAGTACAATACTATTACACAGTGTTTGTCAAGAAATTTATATTTAAAATTAAAATTATAATAATAAATTATTTTAATTTTAAAATACTTTTTTGAATAACAATTTTACTATTTATATTTAAAATAAAACTCATCACTTACATAATTTTATAAATTATATCATTTAACAACTTTGTAGTTAAATTGATTAATATAATCTAATTTTTTTTAATCATACATTATAGTTATATAACTTTTTATACGTATTTGTGATAAATATATGAAACATTTATATTGAATAGGAACAAAATAAAGTTATAGCATTAAAATATTAATTAATATATAAGAGTGATTTAAAATATTAATTAAGATATAATAGTATAATATTAATTGAAAATAAGTTAGAAACATATGAGACTCATAAAAAAGAGATTTACGAGATTTATTGTTATTAGAGGTTTATGAGTGTAGAGTAAGAATAAAATTTTAAATGATGCGATATGTTGGGAAATATAAAAAAAATTATAAGATTTAATTGTTAGTAATAATAATAATAATAATAATAATAGTGCACCAGTTTTCTAAACGGTGGGGCTTATGTGATATCGTCCAAGACACTCGCGATTTGTTGATAATTTCTATATATGTTCATGAATATGTGCAGGCTAAAAAATATAATAATTGCATAACTCTTTAACATGATTGTGTATATAATAATCTTATATAATATAAAATGTAAATGTCAACTAAATAGGAATTAGAAAATGTGGTGGCCAAGTCCGGTAAACTAGTCCATGCGGATGAGTTGTGAGTAAAACTTGCAAGAATCCCCAAACTTCATCCTTTCTCTTTTCAGTATTTCATTAAATAATAATTAATTAATCAAAATCATACGACATTAATAAATTGTTGATTGCTAGCCGACAGTTCGTGTCTTAAATATAGGATAAATAACTTATTCTCATTCGAACTGTCGAGATTTTCGTGTTTTACATATAAACTATTTTTTGACAAACAATCACACAGACCTCATTTNGGCTGATTTTTATGGTATTTTTTTCACGAATTTTGTATATTTAAAAAAAAAATTTAAAAAAAATGAAGAAACGATCATCTTTTAGCCACACAGATTCTTCACATAATCCTCCGAAAAAATTGTTGGACTGGTCATCTTTCTCCAATATTGTGTCTTGTTTCCCGCCGACTAGACTACCCGCTGAAAAAATATCAAAACTAGTCCCATTGTACTCGGGTTTTCCACTTTTGATCCCATTGGAATGGTGTTTCCCAAAACTAGTCTTCTAACTTTTTAAATTCAATCAAAATAAGGACAATTGTTGCAGGGACTACCTTTTCCGGCCCGAAAATGACACGTCATGTTGATGTGTCTTAATAATATTAGAGCTGGCCAATTTAACTCCTGACATAGCGAATGACATGGAAAAATATCAAAATCAGTCCCATAATTATAGAGATGTTTCAGTATTAGTCCAATTAAAAAAACTATTTTGTTTCTTTACATTAAAAAAAATTATTCTTATTGTTAATATGTACACAATCTTTAATATTTCTGTAATATCATAGCCGAAATATTAAGTTATATATATATATAGTTGTTGTAAAGATATTTTCAATTAAATTGCCATAACCATTTCATTTTAACTCTTATAAAGTAATGGTATACCAAAAAATAAAAAACATATTCATGTATAGTTTGGCATTTGATATAGATATATTTTAAAAAGTAAATGAAAGGGCGATAGAAAAAAGAAAAACAAAAAGGAAAATATATTCTAGAACCCGGGTGATACATATCAAAATACCACGACATTAAAGACATTTTATAAAACGATATTAGGAGTATTTTCATAAAGTTAAATTTAAAATATTAGGAGATATTTATTATTTTTAGACACATGTTGATATACAAATGCGGAAAATATTTTAGTTAATACAGAATAAAAAAAACCCTTTTACCAAATAAGGAATAAAAAAAAATGTTTGAAGAAATTTATTTGAAAGGGCTCTTGATTTCATACAAAATATGCATTGGATGAAAATACCCCTAATATCGTTTTATAAAATATCCTTTATATCATGGTATTTTGATATGTATCACCATGTTTGTAAAATACATTTTCTTTTCTTTTTCGTCTTCTCTATCATCCTTTCATCCTTTCATTCTTTTATTATTATTATTATTATTATTATTATTATTATTATTATTATTATACTGCAACATAATACACAAATATTTTTTGGTTTTGTTATGTAATTTCTAGTACAAATTCCGTGCGATGCACGGGTAAGAGATATTTATTAATTTATAAATTAAAATTTTTCATTAAGTAATATTTATAAATTAAAACTATAAAATAAATATATAATACAATTTACCTATATTAATTTATTAAAAATATTATATGAATTTTATATCATGCAAAATTACATAAAAATATGTCAATTTAAAATTAGTACACAACACGTATGGTGCACCTAACTATAATAAATTAAATTATATTCATTTCTAAATAAGTGTCATTTTAAAAACATGTCAATTTAAAATTAGTACACAACCCTTATGGTGCGCGTAACTGATAATAAATTACATTATATTCATTTCAAAATAATTGTCATTTTAATTTTTTTTATTTAGAAATTCGATTTGACTATAATTTGATTCCATAAAATAATTATTTTGTAAAATTTTATCATATATTTGAAAATCTATGTGAACAATTATAATTATAAAACATATATTGTTTCACTAATTAAAATAATTTTTTTTTGTATAAACTAACAAAATAAAAATAAAAAATTAAATAGTTGATCAATTTATCAAACTGTAAATAATTGACTATTCCATTTACGTTTGAGTTAATATTGACTCGTAAGTTATGAATAATTATTTATTTACTTTTGAATTTCAAACCCAAATTTGGACTACATAATAAATTTTCTTATATATTTCACACACACACACACAAACATATATATATATATATATATATATATATATATATATATATTATCTCAAAATTTTTTAAATGTTTTGTCGGTTACCTTATTGTTCAAATTTATCAACTAATTCTCTAAAATTAAATTACAAATTTTTTATTTTATTGACCAATATTTGTTCAAATATAAGAATACATATCAGTTTTTCGAATTATCCTTAATATCTTATAGCAACTTATTATGGGAATATGTTATTGAAGAATCATATCACCTGATTTTATAACAAATCAACGTACAATTTGACTTTCATACCCATAACAAAAAAATTCATACAACTTATTTTATTTCCAGTTATGTTGTTTTCAAAATTTTCAAATACACTTCTATCTATATATAATAAAGTCCATACCATTTAAATCTGAACATTTCATACTAATATAAAATTGCCTATTTTATACCATATACTCAGGTATTTATTAATAACAATACATTCATACCAAACACAAAAATGGTCATTAGATCAGATACCAAAATTAAAATTGTCCATTCTATACCAAAATTGGATTTATTATTTTTGAAAACTTTATACTATAAATTGATTAATTAATTTCTAGAGGCAGAATTTTTTTAAAAATTAAAATAAAAAAATTACCAAATCAGTAATCTTGAAAATTTTTGTCGGGACTTTAGTTTTTATTTCAAACTATATATATATATATATATATAGGATGTGGTTCAAATGAGAACCAAGTCCTAGCGTGAGAACCGTGAGAACCGTGAGAACCGCTATTTTTAATTGTATGTAGTGCTATGATTGATTGTATTTAGTGCTATTTTTAATCAGGATGTATTTTATGAAAAATAGCAACTTAGCATTTGTAAAAATGATAGCACCATGTAAGATTAAAAATAGCATCATACACAATTAAAAATAGCATCAAATATGGTTCTCACGGTTCTCACACCAGAAAAGGTTTTTATTTGAACCACTCCCTATATATATGTATATATATATATATATATATATATTAGATATATAGATATAGATTCAAATTACATACACACTAATTTGAGCCTGCGAAAAAATAAAAATATTTCAATTACATCACAATACAAAGCCACAAGGCGCATTCACCAACTTATGATTAAGCCAAGTTTAACTATCCATTTGGGATTTCAAGTGACATTTTGAGATTTTTTAAGATTTGAGATTCGTAGGCAATCAGGCGTGGTTGCTCTTCGTGACGACGACGTGCTGCGGCTATATGCGACTAAAATTCGATTGGTGAGGTTGTGGTAGTTGCGGCGCTCTGAACACGTGATATGGCCAGAGGTTGCTGCATGGGTGAACGTGGAGATGACCCGACATGAGTGATCTAAGGTTGTCGGACTTTATGCCATCGTCCAAGAGGTCATCAGAATCCAAGCTTCGAGGTCGTGTCCGCCATTAATGGCTGACTTAATCTAAGAAACGAAAATCTCGATTGGTGGTTTGACCCACTGTAAGTGGTCTCCGGTCGGATGCACGGGGTCTTGGAAGCCTTGACTGGCCGGAAATCAGGTAATGGAACCCGATGGGTGTCGACGGGAGTATGAACCAGATTTGGGGATTGATGGCACGATTACGAACA